AGGGTTAAAGGTCTTTCCATTGCAATTCCAATCTCATGATATCATCAACTTCAAACCTCACATTTGTTGTCTGCATGGAGGTCACTGTACATGTGTCCACATGTGCAGTGTACCAATTATCAGTGATGCAGGTTTTAGGGCAGGTCTTGGTATCAAGACCAGTCTTAAGACCAATTTTTAAAGATGTCAACAATTTTAAGGTCTTGAATAAAAGAACTCAGTCTTGATCTTGGAGCACAATCTTGAGATCTTGTGAGGTCTCAAGTAGTATGAGACTTTATTGTTTTGCTCCTCGGGGAAAAAAATCACAGAAATTTTTGTGGAAACACATTTGCTTCAAGTACGATCAATACAGCCAAAGTTGCACAAATTTAACGGTAGACTGGTTGCCGCTTCTCTATCAAGCCCTTTCTAGCAAGATGCCAAGCAGCATGAACCAGTATAGCAGTGCTTTAGCTCCATGCACGTTTTCACCAGTGTGGCGTGAGAGCAAATTCTGCATAAGGGAACTTGTGAAAATAACTGAAGGTCATACAAGACCTTCCGTGGAGAGTAAGTAAACAGAATTCTAAAATGTCTTTTCAAACTGTTCCCACCAATAAGTGTTCTGGTCACGCTGAAGTTATAGTCAGTCAGGAAACCAGAGGTAGAATGCTTTATTTTCTGTAGTTTTAATCAAAAGTAACTTCAACTCCACATTATAAGACTGTTATATTTTCATATTTTCATTATCAGACTATTTTATTTTAATGAAGATCAAGTTAAGTCATTATATATCAGTTAGATATAAATTGCAGGGAGTAAACCGGGAAACACTATTTCTGTGGATCAGCAAAGAACTTAGAATTTGTGCTTGTGTCCTCCTCTCTGTGTTACAATAATTAAGTGATGTTCCAAGAATCTATCAAGAACATATGTGCCCTCAGGTTAAGGGCATCAACTTTGAAAGAGTGCCTCTGTTTTGTTTACCATTATCTTTGTAAATAAAACAGCTGGCTGGCGTTCTTGCAAAGATTGTTGGTGCTTGACGTTAGATGTTCTGCTTGCCCAAGCACACTAATAAATAAAATAGCACACTGGAAACCAAAATGGTGTTTTACAGTCATATAAATTTCATGCATGAATGTTGTTGCACACTGAGATACACGTATCATTTAGTAGCCGGTGTTCTAGCCAGGCATTCAAAAGCATATCCGGCCGATTCAATGAGCAAAAACCCTGACACAGTGAAAACCCCTGATAAGCAATCGATACACTTCTATTTTCCAGGGGAAGAGTTGCTAATATTAAGTTGAAGAAATATAAATATGTTCGGTTGAGCGACAGGAGCTTTTCTTCTTGGCGTACGGGTATGTCGCGTGAGGGCAGACCTTACGTAATCATGCAAATCATGTGCCAGGGCAGGGGAGTGGCACGACAGACGGGTCACTTCATGTTGGTTGGGCACAGTCCCCGCATCTGCTTGAAACCCTTTCCGTACTGTGTGTTGCATATACCTATAATAGAAAGCTGACATAGTTGTATGTTTTAGGCCCCATAATGTCTTCTGATGACAAGCCAGCTACCAAGGACGACATTAGGGCCATGCTTTCAGAGTTCGCAGAGGTTTTCGACAACAAGTTATCTAACACGAAAAATGAAGTCTTGGATTTGCACTCAAAAGCCTCTACCTTGTTGACTCAAAAATTGAAAGAGTCAACCAGCGCCAAGTGGAGAAAAGAAGGAAACCAAAAGCAGTTTGACTTTAACTTGCAAGTATCAGCTAAGTATATTTTCTTTGCATAACTCTAACCGGCGGAAATTGGCAATAGTAGTTATTATGCACAGGGTAGGTGTTTTAACCCTATTTTGCTAGACAATTACATTCATGCCTTTCTTTAACCTGTTCAAAGTGCATTCACTGTTCAGTGTTTTGGCCAAAATACACCAACACTACCGCAAATTCACTGGTGTTTGTGTACTTTTGTTCTTCAGACAGAGGTACTAGGGAAGAAATATAAATATGTTCGGTTGAGCGACAGGGGCGAATGAGAGCATATTTCTTTTCTTCTTGGCGTACGGATACGTAGTGTGAGGGCAGACCTTAGGTAATTATGCAAATTACGTGCCAGGTCGGGGGAGTGGCACGACAGACGGATCACTTCACATTGGTTCGGCACAGTCCCCGCATCTGCTTGAAACCCTTTCAGTACTCTGTGTTAAAATAAAAAATAATAATAATAATAATAACTACAAGAATATATTGATAATACATTAACTACTGTTCCAGAATTAACGATTCCCGCTGTATTTTTTCTACCTTTTCTTTAATGTTTGGGGTAAATTGTGTTTGTACAGAGAAGTCAGAGAGATCATCCAGACGCTCAAAGGGAGAGTAGAAGACGACGGCAACCTGGAGGTAGCTGATATAAAGGCTAGTTTGGCGAAGGCCATAGCGGCGATTGACAAGCGCCAGAAGTTGATTAGGCTGGCAGATTCAAGTGTGTACAGTTGGGTGACCGTATCTGATTACGAGTCTCAACAGCTAGCTGACAATGAAGATGACGACGCCAAGATCACCAGCGCGGAGAACAGGGCTGCAAGGAAGGCCAAGCAAAAGAGAGCAGCGTCAACGACAACGAATCAGCAACAGAAGAAGACCAGATGGGACAGCAGCTCTTCTTGGGCGTCTACTGGCGATAGTTCTTTTCGACGCTCTTCCCAATCTTACCCCTACCTTTTCGGAGTGTCCAAATTCCAAGGGGGATCTTGCTTCATTTGTGGCAGCTTTGCCCATTGGAGAGTGACCTGCCCAAGAAGATTCACCATCAGCAAACCAGCAACCGCAACTCCTCAGCTACAAACCAGTAGAGTTAAGTATACAGAAAACAAGGGTTGTAATAGGGTAGGCGAAACCATTCCATTTGTGGTTGAGGATTATTTTGAATATGAGCAAAAATATGGGTTACAGAGCATTAAAGTCGCAGGTAGATTAAAGAAACACTGTGCATTTTGGAAAGCCATTGCTCCACCTGATAATGTCTTGAGGACAATTGAATATGGTTATGTTATGCCTTTTGTTCCGAACCACCAGTTCTGCTTAACAACAACAAATTGGCTTTAATTCATAGGGAGTTCATAATTGATGCAGTTACCGAACTTTTACAGCTGGGCACTATCCAGAAAACAGAATCCATGCCCTAAGTAGTCAATCCATTGACAGTTTCTGTTCAAAGTAACGGCAACAAACGTCTCATTCTAGATCTGAGGCTGGTTAACGAGAACCTAGACAAAGCTTCTATGAAGTACGAAGACAAGCGTACGGCCCTTATGTTCCTAAAGAAGGGAGGTTATGTCTTTAAGTTTTATCTTAAATCTGGCTACCACCATGTGGACATTTGCACAGAACATGCCAAATATTTGGGTTTTTAATGGAAAGAAAACGATAAGTCTTTCTAACAGCTTCCATTCCGACTTTCCACTGCATCATATATATTCACAAAAGTAATCCGGCCACTCGTCAAAAAGCGGAGAAGTGAAGGAAAGTCCACTGTAGTTTATCTAGATGATGGGCTCGGGTTCGCACCCACTCTCCTGGAAGCACTGGTGATGAGCGAAGAGGTAAATCGGGACATTATTAGCTCAGGCTTTGTCCTTAATGTTCAAAAGAGTGTTTGGGTACGAGTTAGGTCGATTGAATGGCTGTGATATGAAATTAATCTGACTCGGGGTACTTTTCGGGTTCCTGACAGGAGAGTGCTATCCATTAAGCAAGACATCAACAGTTTGATGCAGAAAGCGACAGCTCGATCTCTAGCAAAGTTGGTTGGCAAAATTATGTCAACGAATTTAGTCATAGGCAACATAGCCAATGTAATGACTAAGTATTTGCATCTTCTTATTGAGACCAGGTCGACATGGGATTCCGAATACTCAATTTCCCCAGAAGCTAGAGGCGAGCTGGAATTTTGGGAAAGTAATATAACTAAAGTGAATGAGGCCAGTTTAGGAACCTGCAAAGAATGTTCCAAAATTGTGCATTTGGATGCTGGTTCGACTGGTTTTGGCGGTTATCTAGTGGATACCGGGGAGGTGTCAGTACAGGGAACGTGGGACAATATAGAGTCAGGGAAGAGCTCCGCTTGGAGGGAACTAAAAGCAGTTGATTTAGTTCTGGTATCACTGGCTACAAAGCTGTCTTACCGAAGGACCAAGTGGTTTTTACCAACAACCAGGCTGTTGCTAGGATAGCAACCAGAGGTAGTATGAAGAAAGAATTGCAAGAAATTGCTCTGAGCATTTGTAAGACGTACCTAATGCATAATATCCACATCCAGATGGAGTGGATTCCAAGATCAAAGAATGAAAAGGCAGACAAGTTAAGTCGTATTGTAGATCAAGATGACTGGTGTGTTGCAGAACACGTTTTTGCAGTTCTATGGGGTCCACATTCTATCGATAGATTCGCCAGTTATTATAACAACAAGACAAAAAGATTCAATTCAAAATACTGGAATCCAGGTTGTGAAGCAATTAATGCATTCACAGTAGATTGGAAAGCAGAGAATAATTGGGTAGTGCCTCCCATCCCTTTAATACCTCGAGTGCTAAAGCATATGTATGGAAGCTTGTAAGGCCATTGGAACACTGGTTTGTCCATGTTGGTTTTCGGCCCCTTTCTGGCCGATGCTCTATCCAGACGGTCTCAATCCGGCGAGAGTAATAGTAGCGATTTGTGAACTTCCCGGGCAATGGGGGATATTTAACCCTGGTAGAGGGGGGGAATGCCGAGTTCCTGGCTAATATTAGGAGAAGTAAGATTCTGGCAGTGAGGCTAGATTTCAGTTTTGACTGAGAATTGTATATGTTGACCAAGGCACAAAATCCGCTTTATTTACAGATTCAACAGTGGAATATGGCGAGAGAAGCATGAGGTCAGGGATCAAGACTTGAGGGAGCTCGCTCTGGAATTACCTGACATCGTCCTCAAATCTAGAGCTGACTATACTGTGAAGCAGTATTCCTATGCTTTCAATAACTGGCACAAATGGGCATCGAATTATGGCAAGAAAAGCATCGAGGCCGATCCTTGCGATGTGGTGCTTTCTTTGGTCCATCTGGGCCGTTCGAGCAATTCTGCAGCATCCATAATTAAGGCAGTCTCGGCAATATCATGGGCACACAACACAACTGGCAGCAACGATCCAACCAAAACAACTTTGGTCAAATCTACAAAGGTTTGAAAAGAAAACTTTCTAAGCCCACCGTGAAGAAAAAGCCCATTACCCTAACAATTCTGTGAAATATGGTTGATTTGTATTTAAACTCATCATCTGAGTTCACAGTTGAAAAGCTCATGGACTTGAGAGCAGTAGTGATGTGCCTGATAGCCTACACAGGTTTTTTGAGAGTAAAAGTAAAACTGACATTTACCACAACAGCAGAACAGTAGTTATTAGCAAGTGTGTATCTGGTTATTGCCCAGTACATGTATATTTATTTCAGAAATACATGTATATCAAATTAGCTGAGATAAAAGATGCTAGCTCTTTTGTGTTCCGTAGTTTGTCGAAAGTCAAAGCGGGTTATAAGCTTTAACGAATCAACCCATGTCGTATACCCGTGTGAGAGAAGTTACATGTATCTTACAGGCATTAAGTCCTTTGGTGGACGACGTTTCAAAGTTCAGGGTGCACAGCCTCAGGGCAGGAGGCGCCACAGTGGCAGCTTAAGCAGGTGTACCAGATAGGGTCTTCAGAAGACATGGAAGATGGAAGAAGGAGAATGCCAAAGATGGTTATGTTAAGGACAGTATGAAGGAACTCTTAACAGTATCAAAATCTTTAGGTTTATGAAATGCAATTAAGTAATGTAGAAGTTTGAGACAGGTTTGCGGGGAAAAGAGAGAGAACTAAGACTAGTTCTGTCTCGGACGAAGTTGCAATGCCATGGATCAGTCCTACGTTTCTCATCCAAGGGGTGAGTTTTTGTAACACGGTCTTTAGTTCCAGTAACAACTTTGCCTTCTTGTAAAAAACAGAAGCTAGTTTCTAAGTTTTTTTAGCTCACTTACATGTATGTTCCACTCGTAGTATGAATCCTGGGTTTAAATTCAAAAAGAGAAAGATAACAAAAGAAGGTAATGGTACATGTATTTATGCACCAAAAAAAAGACAGTTTTGTGTCACCGTTTGAATCTAAGCGATCATTGTATATATGTAAACCTTCAAGGTGAAAACGGGCACTGGGTGAAAGTGTGTCCAGTGTTTTGGCCGAAATACACCAACACCACCGTAAATTCATTGGTGTTTGTGTACTTTTGTTCTTCAGACGGATGTACTAGGGAAGAAAAAGTGAAATCAAAAATTTGAAAAAAAAAAACCAGTTTCACAACGCGGCACAGCTAGCTAGGTACACACACGAAAGTACATGTTCATGTACAACTGTACGTACATGTACACCCAAGTTTCCACTCTGTGCAGAATCACATATGCGCAGCATGCACAATACTGGCTCCCGCCCTGCTACTGAGAAGGTAATACAAGAGTAGACGGGTCTGGAGCCAGACTAAGGCTCGGATTGTGCACAGCTACAGCTGTGATGGTATGGCTGGCAGCACAGAAATTGCCCAATCCATTCATAGTATCGCCTCAAAACTGACCGAAGTAATATACGAGTACAAGTAACTTGTCACAAACCCTGGTCTTTCTCTTCAGATTCTTCTAATACATTTAGGCCTACATCGATGGTTATTTTGATATACTTCGTGGTACCATTAAGTTAAGATATACTTCGTGGTTCACGAAGATGATTTTTGGTAAGACCGTGGCACACACACGCTGTCTGTACCACATCCATGCACAGTCTTGAAGTGTTTCTTTTCGTATCAATCTTCACATTTCCTTCGTAATTTCGGTATCGTTAATCATTCTCATTTATTTTTCGTAGTATGTGCTGTTATTTTAACACCATATTTTCATTATTTTCAGCACAAACATCTAACCTTGTGATAATAGGAATAAGTTTGGAATGATGTGACATATTCGTTTTGACAAAAGTTTTAGAACCTAGCAAGAAAGTACATTGTACATGTATGTGTACAAACAATGGTGAATTAAGTTAATTTTTAAGTAGGCATGCCTGTTTCTGTATGTACATGTACGTGTATGCGTAGAATGTTAATCATACATTTTGAATTAAAACCCCAAGAATCTATTCAGATTGAAGTTTTTCAAAATGAAATGAAAAGTGAGCTGAAGGCCTCTTAAGCTTTTCATTGATGCACATCAAAACAATTTTGTACCAAGGAACTTGCACATGTTAAATACAATTGTGTAGTAATGAAATGTGGATCAGATATTTATTAGACATTTGCCCCTTTCCTTAGCAAAAGCAAAATAAAAACACAAAGCAAAGCCGCCCCCCAACAAAAAGTAGAGAAAAGGGTAAAAGTCAGTGTAAAACTGATAATTTTGCTTTTTACAGTGACTGAATGGCATGGAATGGGGGTAATGGGAGCTTAAAACAAAGCTGTTATATTTAACATAATAACTTTTAAACAGTGCCCTCAGGTGTCAAATACATGTAATATCAAGTCAACCCCCGGCCTGGGCATTTTCCATGATGTGAAAGCTGAAAAAAACCCTGAAAACTGCACATCTTTCTTTTTAGACAATTTAGACAAACAAGGCCTTGATCTTTACCCTAGCCATCGTGGCCAATGGCCGTGTGCCCTTCCAAGTTGGCTGTTATGCCCTTCCAAAAAACTCACATGTCGCGGCCACCTTGGCCATCGTGCCCTTCCCCCTTTGCAGCCAGCTGTGTGTGTAATGAGAGTGTACCATGTAAGCCAATGCATGCAGTGTGATTCCGAATTGGGGAGAGTTCAACCTTTTGGGCTGCATTTGGGCGAGCTACATGTATTGGTGCTAACCCGAGTACTATCCGAAGTGCACGACTGGCAGGAGTACCGTCCTCGGGTCAGCGAGAGTATACTCCCCATCACAGAGGAGTATACGCCTGACCCGAGTGTAATGCGCGCGCATCCACACTCGGGTTATCGGGAGTAACCACGGGAACGCAGCCTAGGATATCATTTTCAGCGCTGTACCGGTGAGCAGCGTATTTTGAAAGCAAATTTGCACAACTAAGTCGGAAACCATGCGAGTGCTTATTGTGTTAAGAATAAGTTTTGACCATTCGCCAGGCCTTGGCCCCTATATCTCAAAATCATGCCGTCACACGATCGTATAAAGAAACACTAAAAGGATGCTTTCTTATGGGAGGGCTAAAAGTGCCAGAAGCTTGAAAACCTGTTTTCCAGAAAAAGTAGGGATCAAGTATTTATAAACTTGTGAACTCCGGCAAAGTAGGCACTCAGTCTAGACTCGAAAAAATAATGACTTTGAAATGCCAACATGTACTGCTTGCTGACTTACGTGGCGTGCTGCCTTAATACCCTCCATATAATTCATTGCACCAGTTTAATTGCTTTGATCTGCCCTGGTTTATTTCTATCGCCGTTGTCGATTCAGGTAAGTTTGTCCTTGATTTTGATCATCCCTCCATACTGAGGACGACCTGTGCATGCCGTTGGTACTGACATAACGCTAGCACGCACAGCACACATGTCATGCACTGGCACGTGCACGAGGGATCTTGGGCTGGCCGCAAGTAAAACTTCGTTCAATAGGGCAACCCCAAAAAGGGACAGAGCCCATGCGCGTGCACTAGAGGGGGTACTGGTATTGATGTGAATACTGAGGAAACGCCTTTGTGGTCGCTCGCGCGCAGGCAATGTACATGTAGGCCTACTCCACGTCGGTATCAACAACGAAGCTCTAGAAATCAATTGTTTGTTTACAGCCCACTTCTTACCAAGGATTTTTTTTTTGGTTTTGTGGAAAAGGAACCGAGAAAACATGCCGACTTGAATGAAACGACGGCTTATAAAGGCCTACTTAAAAATTATCAATGGAAATGCATCAACACACGATCGGTACTTTTATCAAAAGGCCCACTTATGAGTTGCATGATGCCGACTTGACAAGAGTTTTCGGTAATCATTTAGCAAACAGTAAACATTTTAAAAGGATCTCCATTTCATTTAAATAAAAGGACATACACTGTTTATTATATTTCAAACTTAGTTTAAGGAGGTTAAGAATCCTTGAATTCTAATGGGAAAGGGATACAAAATCTAAGGAAGCATTAAATCAGAGTCTGGATTCAGAGGGAAAAAATCGTTTGGATAATTGTAATTGATTAAAAAGGAACATTATAATTTTATACAGTGAATTCCATTAATAATAGCAGCACGATAAACGCCTTTTATTGAAGGGGGATGGCATGGTGTACAAGAACTGAAAAATAGCTTATAGGCCTACTCATGACATGACTGAATGTCAAAAAAGCAAATCAAATGTTTTAAAATAATCGGCCTTGGTCCCCCCTCGATCTGGCCTGGTGCCCTGTTGAAATTTGATGAAGGCAAGGCCAAAGTGGCCTGCCCCTTTTTTCCCCAAGATCGAGGCCTGCAAACCTGATAAACTGCAGTAAAAAGAGCGTGACAACATGTCAGAGTCGCTATCACACACAAACGATCTTTGTGGTAAATGCAGACCCCACCACCTATCATTTCGATGTGAACGTTGTCACAAAAATGCTGTCAAAAACAAGAGAGCACACAGTTAGTTCACCGTAGCCAAACCACAGTACACGCAAGGCACTTACATTGCCTGTATTTGTTTACATGTGTTCCCAAAATACATTCACCTTTTTGCTCTTCTGTACTGCTACGGTGTATCTCTTATCAAATGTTGCAACTTCATTGTTTTGTTTCCCTAGAAGCCAGATCAAGTAAACTTAAAAAGGGATTTTTACAATCGAAAAATGGCTTCATAGAACTTTACGGGTGGAATTCTTCAACTATGCGAAAATTAACCAGAGTTGTAGTTTTTAATATGACCTGGTGGTCTATGCATTTATATGTCTGTGGTTGTATTTCACCCTCATGTTGATGGTTCTTTGAAAACAATCTTGTCACCTTGATTCCTTCAGTCACTTCCATGCGGTATGCCATACAGTTCTCAGGATCAATCCCAGGGACGTACAGTAGCAGGACAGAGCGTGACCGTGTCCAATGCAAGGGCTATGTGCTAAAGTGAGGACTACTTTCCACAGTGCGTCAATCACAAGCAGCTATAGGTCTAGCACTAGCACACAGCCCTTCTTCCTACTCAGCTGAATGCCCCATTGCAAAACATGGCGGACGATTGTGATCATTAAACTTTTCCAGTATTTAATGTTTAATGTCTGAAGTTATACACTCAAAATATTCTACATTAGAGGGTCCTGAGAGCCATGGAACTGAGGAATTGAAGAAATATGAGACTAAACCTCTGGGCCGGACTCAAGGCTTCCAATTCTGAGCAATTTGGATGCAATCAGGTTTGAAAGTGGCATTATTTGAGCCATTTTGCCGAGGGATGGTTTTTCAAAATGGCTACTTTTCTGGACATTTTCTGCATTTCAGGGGTGGTCTGCTTCTGGTGGACATTTCTAAAAAATTCATTGGNAAGTATGGGGATTTATCACTGCTGTCTATGGGCATTTATTTTTAGTGGTGCACCCTGTAAAAATTTGCGAATGTAGTCTGGTTCCCTGACCTATATAGAGTTCTGTTCCAAATTGCCTGAGCCTGGTGACCATACGAAAAAATGGCGCGATTCGACTGAGTGGCTGTCTAGAGTTGCCAAACACGGGTTAGAAATTTGAAGTTTCTTGCTTAAATATTGTTAAAATTTACCTAAACTGGGTCTATTAGGATTTAGTAATGGTAATTGTAAAGGTAAAAATGTTAGTTAGTTTGAGAAAGTGGACTTTGTTTCCTTATTTATAGAAACATGGTGCTTGTGGCATGTATGAAGACCTAGGGCCTACCTCGCTGAAAGACTTTTCTTCACGTAGAGCTTCGTCGAAGAAGTCAGAGTCCAAGCACACAGTTGACCAGAACTAACGTTAGGACGACGATCCCCAGTACATCAGTAAAATTAATGTTTTTCTGTGTCACTCACTGTCTTACAACCAAGCGCCCGCGCCGCCCTCGGAGCCTAACTCTAGGGTCTATGGCACTCTAGTCTACGTCTGAACACGCTAATAAGCCGAAGTGCCGGGTGTGTAATCGAGTCTGGGGTCGGTTGCCTAGCAGCAAAGATCGTATGGCGCCGCACGCACTATCTGGGGTTGCACCATTGATCTCCATTGTGTAGACTGGATAAGATATCGCGTCCAAAACGCGGCGTCCCGCGTATGTGTATTTTAAGGAGGGTAAATAACGAGCGTTGCGAATTTCGTTGCGTGTACTTTCAGATGGAGTTTTTCAAAAACCGGTTGAGGTTTTTGTGCTTCGATCAGATTTCGAAGAAAAACTGAATTGTGCACTTTAAATGGATAAATTTAGAAAGAATAATGGTTGATGGTTAAGGTGTACGCAGCAGTGAATTACCGGAGGTCAACGTCAAGTTTGGAAGAAGGGAACGTGAGTCGCACTTTTTTAGTTTCAGAAAGTTTCTGAAGTTGTGCTTTACAGTGCTTAACTTTAAGCCTTTATAGGCCTAGTAAGAAATTTATGATTTTTGTATAATCAGGCTTTGTATATAAAACTTCACTATCTCGAAGTTGGGACCATCTGAAATGTTACTTATTGGCAAAAGTGGTTTCAAAAACTGAATGACTAGTTTGTCGCTTATTTGCCCTAGATTTTACCAGAAAAATCTCCAAGACAGCCATCGACTTGTGTTTGTCGGTTCTAAAGACGCTCTGAACCCAAATCGTGTGACAGACGATGTGATATGAGTGACAGAATTCTTCCTCGGGGCAGAGATGAAACCAAAGTGAGAAGCAGAGTGCTGACGTTTCTGTTGAATGAAGTTACAAACAAGGGAATTCAAAGTCAACGCAATGAAAGAAACTTTGTCTACATAACAAAATTATTCGTTCTCAGTTAAAACTGACTTTTATGCCGGAAAGTAGTTGCTAAATGTAAATTTTTAAGTCAGGTTGTGAACTCAACTTTTTAAGCTTAATAATAAGTTTCTGTTTTAAAAACGGCAGTAAGTTAGTTTGGTCGCTCATTTAAAGCTACACTCACTTTGTGCTCACAGAAAACATTCTCACGCTTCCGTATGCCGCATGGTTTTCAATAACATTTACTAAATATGTGACCCCAGTTATTACTAGTCAATAAAATGGGAGAGGACGGGCCGGCTAAGATTTCTTGATGTCGGTTTATTTCTGGAAAAACAGAAAATGGAAAGAAAATAAATAACAAGTCTTTCCTCGTCTCCGGTCAGCATTCGAATAACCGTTAGTATCTACAAACTGAATCTGAATAAATAAAACAGATGAATTACAGCATACCGGTAAATTATTTATGTCTATACTACATAATGACAAACTAGTAAACGAATACTTGAAGTACAATGAGGTGCAAAATGGCGATTTTTGCGATTTCCTGCAAAACCGTATCTGAACGGCCGCCATCTTGGAAATTTACACAAAAATAAAGAAAAATCACTTCAAACCAACGGTAAAGAAGCAAAATGGGCGAATTACGGTACGATACCGATGATTCAATAGTACATATAGTTACTTTAAATCTAGACAACTTAATATTTAAGAATAATTCAGAGATAGGTGTAAATAAGGAAATGCTGTGAGATGCTCACGACTTAGCAAATATTTCTAAGGAGCAACGCTTACGGACTGAATCCTTGGTAATACACACGTACAAGTAGACATTACTGTACAAAATCAATTAATTATTAGATATTGAAAATGAAAGAATAACAAATCTACCTGGAAAACCAGGGAATGGAGAGAAAATAAATAAGTCTTTCCTCGTCTTCGGTCAGCATTCGAATGACGCTGACAAGGGTCCCGTTTACGTAGCCTATTCTGATTGGCCGATGGATTGTAATCATAAAGGAAAATATTTAAATACCAGAAAGGTAACGGGCGAAACTACAAACTTATGAGGGGGATCTTTTTTTTCAGTTCGGCGACAAATATATGAATTAATTTTATTTAGTACAATTTTTCCTGAAAGTGTGTAAAATTAAAATCATTTTATTGATGATTTTTCAGTGTTGGCTCATCGAAACCAGACGGAAAATCCGATGGACAGTTTGGACATCATATTTACTGGCAAAATCTATTGCATGTCCTGGTGGAATTCTCAAGGTTTTACACACTGAACAAATAACGATTGAACCGACCCAAAGTGAAAATATTGCTAAAGCGAGATCGTAGACAATTGATGTAAAAAAAAAAATTAAGAACAAACAAACACAAAATAGGTTAACATTATCGCTTTCGAGTGGGTAAGTTAATAAGAAAATGGTCAGTTATTTCCGGAAATGATCTTTTTGCCATCGTCCCCTGAGAAAAATGTTATGTTGGCCAGAAATGCACAGCCTACAGCATCACATCACCCAGTAGTAGGGGTGGGAGAGTTCTGGATCAGCAGGGATTTTACTCTGCCCAGACCAGAAGGGACTTTCCCAACTGCTCGCGGCTCACGCACAAAATTTGGTGCCCAAATTACGTGTGCGCGACCTTTGGCCTTGTGTGCCTAAAAAGGGACTTTCCAAAACTCGTGACCCAGCTCGTGACTCAACTCGTGGAGCCCAAACCCAGAAGGGGAATTCCCCTGGGGGAATGTCCACTACCGGAAAAAAATAGCTCTCGCCCCGAGCGCTCCGGGAAAAATGAACTAAATTTTTAAAAGCCTATAATATAAATAGAGACATGAATACTCCATCAAAACCACAACGCCGCCCTGTCTTAGCGGACTTTAGGCGATTGAAAAAATCGTTTCTAGCGGACTTTGTCAGGCAGCACAACATTCGATTACCGGCACCCGCTAAAAAAAGTCACACAAAGCCTGAGCTCGTAAAAGCGATTCAAGCGGGTCAACGGCAATTTCGAAATATCACAAGACAGCCATATCGCCAACTGTTAAACACAGTTCAAGTCAACAACATAGAATTTACTGCCACGGGCTCAAAAGGAAAAATATTGCGAGTGGACTTGATCACCGCGATTAAAGCGTACATTAAGCCGCAAGCGATCGAAGAAGTGGACATTCGAAGAATTAGGCGATTTAGAGACAACTATAGAAATTGGGAACTGATACCCAATTTCTTTGCCGACGACTTGATCCACTTCGATTTTTACAAAAATTTCATCGAAGACAAGGCACTAGCCAAGTTTAAAGAAATTGGTCCGTACAAATTGCCAGCGGCTGTCAAGATTCAGTTCAAAATGGAAAAACCCGGATTTGAGACCAAGATCGGCGTTTTCACATTTACGAGTAAAAATAACGCGGTCTTTTCTAAAAAAGGAATTGAAGAAACGCTGAATCAGCAGATTGAAAAACATCTAGAAGACGTGGAAGCCCACGAACAGCGTGGTTCGGGCTGGGTGTTTGAATAGGTGGTCGCGTTTTACATCAACGTGGTAAAGTGTAACCCAGTCGGAGCGACCTAAAGAACTAAACACAGTCAAAACGCAAATTCACAAAGCGTGCGGCTATTCTTATGCGGTTGTCAGATGCGATGGAATTTGCACCGGTCGCGGGACTTATAGAGGTCAAGACGCGGCACATAAATTTGTGCAGTCGCTTTCCAGGGAAGTCGCTACGATTAATAAAACATTTGCCAAACCCGAGTGTCAAACTTGGTCGCACGAATTGCAAAAGATTTACAAAAATTGTAATACGTGTTGGATTTGCGAAAGACGCATTGGCAAGACTAAAGAATCACAGTGCCAGTGTCAAGTTCCAAATGATCCAAAAGCAAATGACGAAAAAATCACCTTTAGTTCAGTAAATTAAAGCGGTAGGGACTACATTTGTATGACAAGTGAAAAGCCAATGAATAAATTTCGCAAAGTTGGCGATCACTGTCACGTGACTGGAAAGTACCAAGGGCCAGCGCATGCGCAGTGTAATGCCAAGTTATGACTCGTGCCTGGTCAAACGCCCGTTCCAGTAATTCTGCACAACTTGGAAAAATACGACGATGATTATGCAAGGCGCTGAAGCGTTTAACGGTGGCAAATTAAAGTCATCGCCAAAAACACTGAGAATTATGTATTATGGTTGTGTCGCTCGATCGGCTAGTTAAAAACTGTTCTGCGGAAGATTTTAATTGGCTTAGCAAAAGGTTCCCTGAAAACTTAGATTTACTTTTAGAAAAGGGAATTTACCGTTACAAATACATCGACTCGTTTGACAATTTGAGGAAAAACGCAATTGCCCCAACGAGCTGCTTTTTACAGTTCGCTGAGGCAGGCGTCCATTATTGAGGAAGAATATTCCTGGGCTCTTAAAGTATGGCAAGCTTTCAACTGTCAAAATTTGACCAAGAAAATTGTAAAAAGGCAAAAGGCGTTACAAAAGTCGTAACTCAAAAACGGTTAACACACGAAGCGTATAAAAACACCGTCTTTGGAAAAACGCAGCATTTTAATACCCAGCAAATATTCAGATCGGATAAACATTTGATATTTACGGTGTCGCAGAATAAATTGAGTTTATCGCCGTATTACGTTTCGTAATACCAGACGAAATTGCCACTTCAGCTTACGGGCATTATAAAGCTGGAGGGAATTCTGTGTCGTCCGGTATAACCTGAAGCTCTTCTCTTACAAAATCCGCTTGGGCCCGTTTAATAAATAGTACAAAGTGGGCCCCGTTTTAATTCTTTTACCATTTACCCGCTTAAATTGTGTCGTGGGTTTGTCAATATGATAAACGTCGACGGACCAGACGGGATCTGGGGCTGGGGCCTTTTAACGGTTCCGCCTTCCTGCTCGCCTGGGTAATAAAGTTATCGCACCAAAACATCTGGAGTAAGATCACGCAGCTCACTTTGTTTCGGGCGCCGCGGGCGTTTGTTTCACCGGGTCCAATTTTACGGCTTCTGCGGGGTCTTTGCCAATAAACGCGTCTTTTCCTCGTTTAGCGTTTTTATAACTTGAGGCAAACGCTCTACCCATTTTACGTTTCGTTGGCCAACGTTTAACATTTCTTGAGCGTATTGATGATTTTTGGTCATCTTGTACCCGAGTCATCTCGTACCCGAGTCATCTCGTACCAAAGTCATCTCGTACCCAAGTTAACTC